GGGAGCGGGGTGGGAGAGGATGCCAGGACGCCAGGGAGAGCGGGTGCTGGGAAGGCTGAAGGAGGAGGCAGAGAAGCAGTCAACCAAGCAAGACATAGGTGCTGAGGCAGCCAGTGTGGCTCAGTGGTTGAGCATCGACCTATGAACCAAGAGGTCAGGGTTTGATTCCCGGTCAGGGCACAGGCCCAGGTTGCATGCTCATCCATGATTCTCATCATTGATGTTTCTCTCTCCCTCTGCCTTCCTCTCTGAAATCATTAAAATTATATTTAAAAACTAAAAGAGATGCTGGCGCAGTGGGTCCGGTGCCAGCTGTGGCTGCCAGGTGTGATGTCAGTGGACTCTGGGCCCGCAGGCTCAGGTTTCATTAAATCAGGCACCTGATCTGACATTCCTAACCTCCTCGGACGTTTCCAGAAGGGGGGGGTGTGCAGTGGGACCAGGGACCAGGAGCAGGAGGTGCCGAGGGGCCCAGCGCAGGGGGAGAAGGGGACGGGCACTAAGGATGTTAGCCCTCAGGCTCAGGTTCCCGGGCTCCTCCCGGGGTTCCTGTGGGGGTCTCTGATCTGCCTCCACCCGCAGGAACCTCAGCTCGGCCTCCCAGGCCACTCGCCAGAAGATGCGTGAATGCCATGGGCTGGTGGACGCCCTGGTCACCTACATCAACCAGGCCCTGGACGTGGGCAAGTGCGAGGACAAGGTGAGGGGTGGCCGGTGGGGAGGGCGGCCGGTGAAGTGGGGAGGGGCCAGCCCGTTCCGACCACAGTCCACTCCCCACAGAGCGTGGAGAACGCTGTGTGCGTGCTGAGGAACCTGTCCTACCGCCTGTACGACGAGATGCCGCCGTCAGCCCTGCAGCGCCTCGAGGGCCGGGGCCGCAGGGACATGGCCGGGGCGCCGCCCAGCGAGGTGGTGGGCTGCTTCACGCCACAGAGCCGGCGGCTGCGAGAGGTGGGTTCTGGCCTGGGCTGGCGGGAGCAGGGGCCTGGCCTGACCCTGGCTGACCTCTGTGCCCACCGCCCAGCAACCCATCACTGCCGATGCACTCACCTTCGCCGAGGTGTCCAAGGACCCCAAGGGCCTCGAGTGGCTGTGGAGCCCCCAGATCGTGGGCCTGTACAACCGCCTCCTGCAGCGCTGCGAGCTCAACCGGCACACAACGGAGGCGGCCGCCGGAGCCCTGCAGA